ATCATTTTCATCTTTTCATCAGAACCCCAAGGAATGGACCAAGATGGTGATCCAGAACATTGCCGGATGTGGCAAGTTCTCCAGTGATCGCACCATTACCGAGTATGCTCGTGATATCTGGGGCATGGAGCCCACGATGGAGTCACTCCCCGCCCCTGACGACTTGTAATAAACTGTCCACATGATGCCACAACGGCCCGACTTTCCCTGCTTGTATCACGACCAGAGTGAGTTAAGAGTGAGTTTGTCAGATACTGAGCGTCTGGTAAAAGCCACCACAAACCTGCCTCTGAGAGGGAAAAGCATCAAATACTTCCTGCGTTACTACAGTGTGTGTCACACGACTCTTTGACTAAGTTTACATTTTTCATGCATGCAGATCTACAATATGGTTAATAGATCTTCGTGGTGGGCTTTTGTGAAGTGATCGGTGATATTTTTTGTAGAAAAATATTAACTCTTGTACTTCCACTCAGAGCCATTCTGAATAAAATACATCTTAAATACCAAGACAGCCTGCGTGAGTTTGTATAGCTTTTTCCATTGTGTTTGAGGGAAAGCCATGTTTCCACAACATTTAAATTGTAAACTGAAGAATACATTTGCACATTATTATTGTGCAATAATTGTATTTCCAAGCGTATTACATGAACAATGGCCAATTTCACTATAGCCTAAGAACCAAATCAAATGATGTTGATAACCAATAGCACAGTGGGCAACACATCATTGTAATCAGTGAATGTTAAAGGTCGCATGTCATGGCCATTTCTACTGATCATAATTCAATTGTTGAGGTATACTAGAATATATTTACAATGTTCAATGTTCCAAAATCACATTGGTTCTCTCATACAGCATCTCTGTATAGTATGTGTATTCACTCTCTGTCCTACACGCCTTGTTGTCCCCCCCCCCCTCCCTATGAGCCCACTGTGCTCTGACGTGTGTTTATGTGTTACAATGGCGTTTGTTAGCAACCAGAAAATGACACCAGTAATGACAAACAGATGAGAATGCTGCGTGAGGTCTGGGTGCCGTGTTGGCGGGACGTTGCGGGGCTCGTTGCTCCGCTCGAGGAGCGGACAGTGTGAGCTGGATTACTGGTGTCGCTTCCTGGTTGCTGCCAGACAGCGAGACTCAGCCTGAGCACACACATGTAAGTGTGTGGCGAACTGTTAATGGAGATCCACGGAGCCGAGGCTGAGAAAATATAAGGCTGAGTGAGTGTGTGTGTGTTAGGAGCTCCACGGATTGGTCCATTTGGACCTGGGTATGGTCACGTCACTATACTCAGGAAGAAAAAAATGGAAAAAGAGAAATCTCCAACGAGGTGTTCTGGGTCAGCATAGACAGGTATTTTCTGTTAGAGTTGTACTCGCTACATGGTGTACTTTGAGGGTTTGTGACTTTGCAGACTGTTTACATGCAGAAAAAGCTACATAACACACAAGGGGACGGGTAATAACCGGAAAAGCATGACATGGGCCCTTTAAAGAAATATCCTTAAAAAAAAAATGTAATTAAACATGGGCATTTTGTTGTATTTTGTGGTCAAATGTTGATTTAAATTAAATGTGTAAAAATTCAGGAAGCAGAAGATCTGTGATCCAATCAGTGGACAGTGTTGTGAAAATGCAACATTCATTCAATAACTATAATCCTCAGATTCAGATTTTGGGTTCATTGGCCATTTAAAAAGGCATCAAGCGTTTTCATTATCTGTACGAAAAGGTACAGACTATGACATAATGTTATTTAATATGGCCTGGCAGCCAAAACACACAAATATTGGGTAGAGCCAATAGGTACCAACTGCCTAATGCAAATATTGGGAACATAGGGAGCAGAGTTTAGAGGTGCAACACAACAAAAAACACAAGCCGTGGCCCCACAGTCCCCTGGATGACCACAGCAGCAGCAGATCGCTCAGCAGAGGACTTCAGCACTGTGGCAGTGAAGGCAACACGTATCTCAATGCAGTCAGAGGCAGTAAACAAATGCCAAAGCTATCAAGGGCGTTTATTTCCTCCAACTAAAGATAGCATACCAAAGCAATGGATCATCAACATCACTGTTATCTCATTCCAGCCCTTTAAATCTCATATCTGCATACAACATGTGTCACTAAAAGGATCATATTTGATGACAAAATGTTTGTTTGACTGTCAAAGAAACTAAAATAACATGTTAAATAAAAATGTCCAACTTGGGCCCAAGATGTTAGAAGACAAGGAAAAAAACAACAGAGCAAATGTCCAGTGATCAATCAATTAAAACATTTCTAATTTGTCTCAGGGGGATTTAAAGTATGTACACAATATGACACCCTCTGTCCTTAGACCCTTGCATCGTATAAGGAAAAACTCCCCAAACATCACCTCTCTTAAATCTTATAGTGACTGAAAGAGCATTCCCATGCAGGCCTCAGAGCTTTCTGAGGGTTAAATAAAGTTCTCTGAATGCCCTTTAGGAGGAGCTGTTGCTACCAAGTGAACAGTTGAGGGGAATAAGCTAAACGGACGGATGGTGAGAAACACATGTTACTCTGTCCCGCTGATTCAGCTGTGCACCCGGTGACCTCAATCGATTCTTCAATGGCTCCTTTGCGTGCCAGTAATAGCTTATTGTCATAATACACACACACACACACACACACACACACACACACACACACACACACACACACACACACACACACACACACACACACACACACACACACACACACTGTACATCCCTTGTTCATTAAATCAGAAGCCAAAAGCATGTTTGTATGTATGTAGTTATATAGATACTTATCAATAATATAGAAAATATACACATATATTGAAGATTAGAAATGGTGAATTAAAATGTAAATGATTGCAAACGCTGATCATTTATTTTCCTCCAGCTTATCTTAGAAAAATAAGCATCAAATGTATATGTTTTTTTTAAAAGAGGTATTGTTATTTAACTGACTTGGATCCGTCCAAAACATTTATATTTGTATTTTAGAGCTGCAAGTGAAAGGTCAAAGTTGTGTGTGTTCGCCTCCTTTTGTTTATGAGAGCAAGAGCCACAAAGCAAGTGAGCGTATACAGTACAACGTCTGCGCTGTTTCTGAACTTGTTTGCAGTGTTTAACTCAGGAGTTACTGGTGTAATAAATTATAAGATAACTCCTCATTGCCATGTCTCTGGATTTAACAGGTTTAAAGTCCAAACCTACATTAAACATTTAACAGATATGGATAACTGATGAACAAGGACAATCAAATAAATCCTTTAATTGTTTCATTGCTCTTCATGACTCTGTAAGAATGAATATCTTGCAGTAGCTGAAACGTCATGCTTTTATATCATTTAAAATGTATTGTGTAAAAAATACCCTTACATCTGCCTCACAAGCAGCTATGGGCTCAGGTTCAGGGCCTCATGGAGAGGAGAGATTGAGGTGACAGGCCCCTCTAAGCTATTTCTAAATGTTGGCCGAGGGATATGTGGGTGCAGTTGTGGGTGAAATAGTATCAGCAATTTGACTCTCCTCTCACAACAACATTACAATTGTGAATTTTAATAACAATAGTCCTCCCCCAGCACCATAAGGCAAGCTAATGCTAACTAACTAATCATCAGCATGTTAGCATTTTAATTAGCAGCATCAAAAGGTCAATGTGTATTCATTTCGCATTATCAGCCTCCACTGTAACATGTTTTAGTGCTGACTAAAAAGGCTCCTCCCTGAATGTTACACTTTGATAACACAAGTGGATTTAAACCAATTTACCATAACTGCTGGGTGAAGCAAGCTCTTGTCTTTCGTTACTCATTAAAACCCTGTACAAATATTAGCTTGTTGAGGATTGTGCTAGTCCTTTCTCTTTGTAAAACAATAAAATGTATCTGTGTCACACTCTGTTAAATGTATAATGCTGATTTAACATGTGTCTGTTCAATCCAGGCTCTTCACTTTCTAATGTTTCTCTGTTTTTCCATTTCCTAAAAGTTATTTTGTAGTTTTCTTAAAAACATGTATAAATGTTTTTATAAATTCTTTCAAATACCGTTTTTAAAAACCAGCTAAAACATAACGCCCCTAAGAAGGAGGAAATCAAAAGTGCATATCTTTGTCCTTCAGAGTCTGGCAGCTGAAAAAACCGACTGTTTATTGTTTTACTTTTGTTCACCTGCTGCTTCATTCAGTCTGACATCTCATGCTGATCACTACAAAGCACACATTCCTGAAAAAAAACGAATCACCAGGAAACAGGAAAAGGCAGACATGTCTCAGGTTTTAGAGACATTCACACATTTTTTTAGTTCTTTAACTTTTTATTAAGGGGTCATGTTTCATAACTCTCAGTTACCTGGAATACAACTGTTGCTTATTGATCAATCAGAGTCACTTATTGACTGCAACGTGTGTTCTAACACAGGGTAACAGAGGAGGAGAAAAGGTCATGGTGTTGAAGTACAAATGAATAGTTGAATATTGATCAGAATCCTTTGCAATTTTTGTCAAACACTTACTTTTGGTTTTGCTGTCCTTCCTTTGAACCAGTGAACAAATAGTGGTGATTTATAAACAAGTCAACAAGCAAACAATTATAGAACATATTAAAGAAACTGACAAAGAAGTTACTATTGAAACCAAATCAGTTTGTTTGACCTCACATTCACACGCACACTAATGCACACTATCACCTTGCCATTAGGGGAGGCTGTGGCTCAGTGGATTAGTGCGCTGAAATACGAATCAGGGGATAGCAAGTTCGAGTCCCACTGCAGTCAGCATGTTGTTGTGTCCCTGGGCAAGACACTTCACCCCAAATGGCTCCTGTGGGGATCGCCCACAGTACTGAATGTATGTAAGTCGCTTTGGATAAAAGCGTCTAACAAGTGAAATGTAATGTCATTCATGTAAGGTAACCAATAACAGGCAGGGAAAAGGTCTCAGTGCGAAAGGGGAAAACAGCTGAAACCACCTTTGGTTGGAGCTCACTTGCACTGAAACCCTTCATCCGGACATTGTTCCTGCACAGCAAGGACTCCACATTCACCATTTTTTGTAGGCCAGCATTCTTATTGTTAATATTTATGTTTTGAGAAAAGATTATTCAAGAGGTAAGTCTTTCTGAATTTCAAATTATCCGAACATTTAAAAATTATACTTTATACTTGCACCTTATGTTTGGTATTTTCACAGATGCTAGAACAACTTACTATTTACTTTTATGTTTTCCAAAGGAACCTACCAACAACAGGAACTGCTGTCATTAACATAAAGTTAACTTGTGGAGTTTTTGTAGTACACCACTATGGGGTTTGGTGAACTCTTGGAGCAGGTAGGGAGCACAGGACGCTTCCAGGTCCTGCATACGACCCTTCTCTGCATACCTGTGATGTTGATTGCCAGTCACAACCTGCTGCAGAACTTTGTGGCTTTGGTTCCCCCTCACTTCTGCAGCACACACACAAACCTGTCCCAGTCCCAGATGAGTGCAGAGGAAGCGCTGCTGGTCACGGTGCCGCTGGACCAGACAGGGAAGCCAGAGAGGTGCTTGCGTTACGCGGCTCCACAGTGGCACCTCCTGACAAAAAACGGGAGCTCCAGTTCAGGGAAGGAGGGAGACACTAACGCTGGTTTGGATGTTGACCCGCAGGGATGTTCAGATGGATGGACCTATAACATGACTCACATGAAATCCACAATAATATCTGACGTAGGACTACATTTTTTTTTCTTTGCACATGTGTGAATCTTATCTTGTCCTGTGCCTTAAATGTTGTTCCATATTTTTTAGTGGAATTTGGTGTGTGATCAGCGGTCTTTGAAGCAAATGGGACAGACGATCTACATGGGAGGTGTGCTTCTGGGTTCTGTAGTCTTTGGAGGTCTTTCAGACAGGTAACATTGATCTCATCACTAATGATTTACAGTTGTGCTACTAATGTCAGATATTCGGCAACATCACTCATGTATGTAACTTTCAAAGGGGAACAATTATGAAAAAACACACTTTCTTTTCTTAAAGAGACAGGCACAAAAACGGTGTGTTTCTGACAAAGGTGGATGCAGGATTATAAAGAAAGACAGTATACAAAAAAAATAGTTTTTCGACAATAAAGCATAAATAAATGTTCTACTAGACCCAAAATACACAAATTAACCAGAACATGTGCATCATATTTCCCCTTTAAAAATGGTCCCACACAACACGTCTTCATGCAGCCTTGTTCAAATCATATGATGTGATACAGTCTGAATTAACTCTTTAACCCACCTGGCTCTAGATATGGTCGACGCATCCTCTTGCTTATTTCTCACCTGCTGATGGCTGTGTCAGGAACATGTGCTGCTTTCTCCACTGCCTTCCCGCTCTTCTGCCTGTTCCGCTTTGGCTGTGGCATGGCTCTGTCCGGCGTGGTGCTCAACACCTTCTCGCTCAGTAAGTGTCATGGATTTGGACTTATGTTGCCATTTCCCGGTTTTATTTTGAAATTCTTTTCTCTTTGTCTGGTCTTCCTTCCTGTGTTTGCCCTCCTGTGTCTGATTGTCTCATTGTGTTCACCTGTTGCCCTTGTGTTTCTGCCTCCCCTGCCTAGCTGTATCTTGCCCTGTGATTACCCTTCTGTGTATTTATTCTTGTCTTCCCCTTTGCTCCATGTTCGGTTGTCGTCATTTCCTACCTGGTCTTGTCCATGTTCTGTGCCTGTGCCTGTTCCCGTCCGTCTGTCTTCTCCCATTCCTTGTGTCCCCTGGATGGGGTTTGTTAGTTTTTTTTTTGTGTTACCTCGCCTGTTCCTTCAGTTCTTTGATTTTTGTATCGGCTTTCGAATAAAGCTCGCTTTTGTTAAAACCCCCATACCTGCCTTCCTTGTTCGTACTGCTTTTGGGTCCTATTTACCCCAACCATGACAGTACAACCGGACCAAAGCTGGACCCAGCAGGGGACCTTTATGAGGTAACTTATAATTTAATATACCTAAGGAATGACTGTCGATACGCCTCCAGTAGAGAGGAGAGGCAGTCTATCATGTTTTCGGCACGCAAAGAAGTAACTTCGAGGCCCTGGTTAAGGGACTTATTACCCGAGTTGGTGGAGGACTTTATTGTAATTGTGAGATCAAATCTGATTCCCGGCCTGCTAGCCCCAGACATGCTAGCCCCCTTCCTGCCACAGATCCCAACATTGCTCCTTTCGAGGACCCTTTTGTGGGATCCCGCCTGGCCTTGGGAGGTCCACGGAGCCTCCAAAATGCTTCTAAGAGACGCAAGGCCAAGCTACCGGCCCAAGCCCCAGCAGCCATGGTTCCGGCTCCCACTCCTGCCCCCTGTATCCTGTTGGCAGTTCTGCCGACTCAAGTCCCTTCTCCGCCGGGGATCCTGCCAACACCATGTCCTGTCCTGTTGGGGTCCCCGCTGACACCTGTTCCGCCGCGGCTCCTGCCAACTTCATGTCCTGTTCCATTGGGGGTCCCGCCGACACCTGTTCCCCCGGGGGTCCTGCCAACTATGTGTCCTGTCCCAGTTGGGCGTCCCGCCGACACCGGTTCCGCCGGGGGTCCCGTCAACACCGTGTCCTACTCCGTCGTGCATCCCGCCGACTTATGCTCCTGTTCCGTCGGGGGTCCCGCCGACACCAGCCCTTGTTCCATCGGGAACACCTGTCCCGCCGACACCTGTTCCTGTCCCGCCGGGGGTCACACAGACAGCGGTGCCTGTCCCGTCCGGTGTCTCGCCATCTCCTGCTCCCAGTGCTCCCGATCCTAGTTCACCTGCTCCGGCGATCCAGCTGACTCACCGCCACCTTCCTGCCTGTCCTTGTGCCCGGCCTCCTGAGTTTCCCCTCTGCGGCTTTCGCCCCTGCTCTGCCTCTGCCTGGCCCACGGGCCATCCGCCCAAGAACCCCTCCTGGTCGTCTGCCGTGCCCCCGGGCTATCAGCCCAAACCCGTCCACCAGGCCCCCTCCACCCACTCTTTTGGCCCTTGTATCAGCTTTTGAATAAAGCATCACTTTTGTTTAAACCCCCATACCTGCCTTCCCTGTTCGTACTGCTTTTGGGTCCTATTTACCCCAACCGTGACAGTAAGACATCTAACTGGATAGGGTACAATCAGCATGAAACAACTTAAATGGAAGCAGTCAACATACATGATGATTCAAGAATAATACTTGTACTAAATTCTAAAAAATACCTCTTTCTCTATCTCTTTTTCCTTTAATATCAAGTTGTGGAGTGGATCCCCACTAGTGTGCGAACAATGGTCGGGACAATGACAGGTTACTGCTACACAGTTGGACAGTTGATACTGGCGCTCATCGCATACTTCATCCGGGACTGGAGGTGGTTAACCCTGGCTGTGTCTTTGCCTTTCTTTGTCTTCTTCCTCATTGCATGGTAAGATGCCAAGTATTGACATCAAAGCAAACCAGAATCACCGATACATGTTTATTTGCACGATTAACAGAACACATATTTCACACAGGTGGTTTCATGAATCTTCAAGATGGTTAGTTATGAGTAACAACCCTGAACAAGCCATCAAGAACCTTAAAAGTGTGGCGAAATTTAATGGACGGAAGGAAGAGGGAGAGAAAATCGACATGAAGGTAAGAGAATGTGCTGTTTATTGCACCATCTATCTGTGTTTATTAATGTGTATAAAATACATGAATCTTTGTCGGTATGCATAGAGGCTGCAGGAAACCATGAAGAAAGAGATGTCCTGCTCACAAGGCACCCACTCTGTCCTGGATCTGTTCCGCACACCTACAATGAGGAGAATGACGATCTGCCTCAGTGCTGTCTGGTACATGTTCCTTCTTGTAAAAATCTCAGTTTTTCAGCACCAAATACGAAATTACATTGACACTGTTAATGCTTTCTTTCAAAAACAAACCTAGGTTATCCACAAGCTTTGCTTACTACGGTCTTGCAATGGATCTGCAGAAGTTTGGGGTGGACATCTACTTGATCCAAGTGATCTTCGGAGTTGTTGACATCCCTGCTAAAGTCGTCATAGTCGTATCTATGAGTTATTTTGGACGGCGCATATCACAATGTGGGGCTCTCATCATCGCTGGAACCACTGTTTTGATCAACCTGCTGATACCTTATGGTATGGTTGAAACATACAAGTTGAATATTATACTGCAGAAACAACACAGTCCTCTGATGAATGTCTCACTCCATGTGCAGATAAACAGACTGCACGCACGTGTATGGCTGTACTGGGTAAAGGTTGCCTCGCTGCCTCATTCAACTGCTGCTATCTCTACTCTGGAGAACTGTTCCCAACAATCATCCGGTAAGTCTTATTTAGAAAATGTTGCTTTAAATTGTTTTATTAAGGGTTTAAAGGGGCCCTATTATGCTAGTTTTCAGTTTTTTACTTACTTTAATTTTCAGAGAGCTCATTATTTTTCTCATACTGCCTGTGCTGCAGAACCTCTTTTCACCCTCTGTCTGAAACAAGAGCCCAGTCTGCTCTGATTGGTTAGCTGGCCAGCTCTGTTGCGATAATTCAACTCCCTAAGGATGTCCCGCCCCTTAGCCTATCATGTACAATGTGTTGTAGCGCTAGCCAGAAGCGCAAGTGTTACTTGGTGATGTCACTATGGGAACTTTGGGATTTTAGCCTTTTGTAGACCATTTACATGCACACAAACCTATATCACCCACTATATGCAAAAACCCCAAAAAGCATAAACCTCTTTAATTTCAGCTCTTTAAGTTCAGCTCGTTTTATTTATCGGAGGATCTACGTCCTGACTTTTTCAAAAGGGCATATGAGAGTTTTTCTACTTGCTGTGGACAATGCTTCAGAAGTCTTTAGGCTTGAAACAAGTTCCATCCCACTTCCATTTCCCTCGCCTTGAAGTCAATTGTTTTTTTCATGGGCTTCTGGTTAATGGCCTGAACAAAGGTCTCTCCTTATGAAATGTTCACGATTAGTTCTACAATATAAACATTTCCAGCAAACACATTGAAGTCATGCCACCACTAACTGTTGAGGCAGAAACAACTAAGAGAAAAAGAAAGTGAGTCTGCAGTTTATTGTACAGACAGAAGATAAAGCAGATAAAGATTAATGGTGTCAAACCAGGTCACCTTTGACTCAGATGATATGAGGACGAAACAGTGAAAGCCCTTTAAAACCCACAAACATCTTAAAAACATCTTAAATATTTATTTATTTTTGTTTTAGAAACTTCTTAGGGCTTTTGGTTTATTTTCATAATGGTCTTTCTATTTCCTGATTCCTAGGCATTATTTGCTGTTGTTTTTTGTTGGAAGAAGATTTCCTGGCAGAAGTCATGCTGAATTATGTCTTTGCTTATCTGCATACTGTGTCACCAATAAAACAAACATAGTAAATGCATATTTTTTCTAATCAGTTAAATAGTTACTAAAAACCCTTGTCCCATCATTGCTTTGAACTTTCATAGGCTTTTATAGGATAGGCATTCATTATAACTGATCTACCTCTTGTACACCTTCAGCTGTGTCCTGAAATAGGAGCCTCTAATCTCAATTTTAATATCTTTCTTAAAAGATCAATAACAGTACTTATATACATTATTCTTTATCACTCGCCCCACAATCACTGATTTACAAGAAAAGCATCGCTTTAATGTTAGAGTTATGGTTGTTCTCTCTCCCTCTCAGTGCTGCATTTGACACTGTGGACTACAACATATTACTAGAAAACTCGGTGGGAATTTCGGCAACAGTTCTAAATTGGTTTGAATCATACTTTAATGGATAGAAAAAACGTTGTTTATATAGGTACATACACATCTGAGTTGACTAATAGGACATGTGGGGTTCCTCCAGGCTCCATCTTGGGGGCTCTTCTCTTTAACATCTACATGTCATCACTGGCTCAGATAATGAAAAACAATAAAATAAGTTATGGATGATACACAAATGTACGTAACCATTTCACCAGAAGACTAAGCTCTAATTCAGAAACTGAGTAAGTGCATTGAAGAAATCAATGACTGGATGTGTCAGAACTTTCTCCAATTAAACAAAGATAAAACTGAGGTAATGGTTTTTGGAGCCAAGGCAGGACATATAAAAGTTAGCGCTGAGCTTCAGCCTGCAATGTTCAACAGATAAAGCCAGAAATATAGGTGTAGTCATGGACTCTGACCTGAGTTTCAACAGTGACATTAAAACAGTTACTAAATCAGCCTACTATCAACTTAAGAATATACAACCCAGTCTCACGGCATTTCATGTTATAGTCACAAAATTAATCTATTGATTCGTGTTCACCAACATGATTTCCCCATTTTTTTTTTTGTGCCACACAGAACGATTTTAAAAGCAATATAAATAATAACAGATTAGAAGGAAAAACATATTTAAAAAAATACAGATTTCAGTATTCTGACACACAACAATGTTAGAAGCAATGTATTTCTATTGCTATGTTTCGTGCCTGCACCAAATAATAACAAATTAGAAAGAAAAAAAGATTGAAAAAATACAGATTTCAGTATTCTGAGGCTCTGAGCCCCATTTCTTTTCCTCGTGGACGGCAAAAAGAGTCAGACATTATAACATTTAGAAAAACAATAATCGTGGCTTGATATTGAGTAACAAAATGTTTTTATGAACCACACAGCTTCTGGTCTTCCAAGACCCGACCGGACAAAAAGACGCGGTGCAGGCACGAAACATACCACCAATAGAAATAAATTGCTTTTAAAATCGTTCTGAATTGTTTCATGTACTTTTTATTCATATACTTCTTATTCATGTATTTTTTCTTTTAATGTTTCTTTTATTATCTTTTCTTTTTAATGACTCTTTTTAAATGCCTTTGTCTGAATGTCTTTCATTTTTGTTTAGAACTTTGAAATTGGGGCCTTGTGTTGAAAGGTGCTAATATAAATAAACGTGCCTTGCCTTGCCTTGCCTCCAGTCAGAAATGGCATGGGGCTGGGTATTCCATGATGGCTCGGTGGTTGGAGCCATGGTGCCCCGATGGTGCTGTCACGGCCGACGTATCTACCTTGGCCTCCCGGCGTTTGATCATATGGCGGCGCGCCTCCGATCCTCCAGTGGAATTGCTGCAATATTTCTTCCAGAAACACTTGGCTCACACCCCTCCCGCGACACAATACAAGATGTGGAACGGACAGGTAAATTCAGGGGGGAGCAAGATTCTGTTCCTTTCTTTTACATCTCTGCAAACACAAAACATACAGCATTGTTTAGTAAAAGTGAGTACTGGAGGCATTTTAAGGACATTAAGAGAGGACCAGAGACATGATTTATCTATATTTTCCTTTTCTATTTTGACCACCAGGGGACCTGGGAAGAAGCTCCAAAAGCGTGCTAACGAAAAAGAAGCGAGTAATCCAGTAAAAAGAAAGCAGGCCCAGGCGGATGGCTCCTAAAGCAGACGGACCTGGGGGGCAGTATGGAATTCGCTGCTCGTTGCCTGAAGGTTGTTGCGTGGCCTGCAGCATGTTACATGAAGGGAGCCCTATCTTGGTTACGGGCTAAGCTTTTTGCTTCCGGCGCTGTTTTATTAGTTTGTGAATTCAATAAGATAAGCTTAATTATTTGTTGTTGACTGGGGCTAGAGCAATGGTGAGTTGCAATAAGACGGGTCAGATACAGTGAAATAATAGGCTGTGAACAAATCTAGATTCTGTGTTTGTTTATGTTATGACTGGAGGGATTTTAGTCAGCGGAAATCTGGGCATAAATCAGGCTTTATATTACTTAGAAAAGTTGGCGGTTCTACATGGTGGGGGGCTTTGCTTTATACTGGTATATTGTATAACTCTTATTTATTTGGCAATCTTGTTATTTGAAAAGCAAACAGCTAAACATATTAAGCTTCATAAAATCAGCCACCACAGCATTTAAGCTCTTTTGGCATTCCGGCTTTGGCTCCTGTTGAACACTGAAATAGCTAATTGACACAACCTTCTTTATCCAGGAGCTACGGCTTAATGGGCACTGTGCCGGATACCTGTTTTGGCATTTGGCTGAAACAGAGTCAGACAAAGAAGTTTGCGAGGCAGAGGATTCCACATTATAACTGGTTTGCTTCGGCGTCACTTGCATTGCTTGGCCCTGGGCCTTATGCTACAAATATCAAAGTCAAATGAAGTAAACAATATACATATCAGGTAAGAGAATTAGGTTTTTCAAATCAGGGCAACCAGCAGAACCTAAGCTGCAAACTTGTTTAGCATTTGTCTCTTTTGGCCACTCCTCAAGGAAGGAGCGCCACTCTGGTGTTTGCCATAATTTTACGGTAAAAATGTCACCGCAGAGTCTTTTAAATAGCTTAATCTTTTGAGCTCATAGAGGCAGTCTAAGAAGCAAGGGGTGTCAACTCAAATAGCACAGTGGGAGCCAACACCTTAAAGAATCATAAATGCGGTACACTCCAGTCGACAGTCAGGGGGCCGAACCAAGTACGAGGGGTTGCAATGTTTTACTTGCNGAACTGTTCCCAACAATCATCCGGTAAGTCTTATTTAGAAAATGTTGCTTTAAATTGTTTTATTAAGGGTTTAAAGGGGCCCTATTATGCTAGTTTTCAGTTTTTTACTTACTTTAGTGTTCAGAGAGCCCTTTATTTTTCTCATACTGCTTGAAAACCTATTTTCACCCTCTGTCTGAAACCAAAACCCAGTCTGCTCTAATTAGTTAGCTGGCCAGCTCTGTTGTGATAATTCAACTGCCAAGTGATGTCACTTTGTGATGGAAGTAAACAAACGAATCAAAGCGAGGCGTTTCAGGCCAGGGGGGAGTGTGTGCGAGATAAACTCCCTCTGTAGGGAACTTTTGGATTTTAGCCTTTGGAGACCATTTACATGCACAAAAACCTATATCACACTACACAGGAAAGGCAAAACCCCCAAATGCATAAAAGGGCCCCTTTAAGCTCAGCTCATTTGATATATTGAAGAATCTACATCCTGTCTTTTTGAAAAGGGTAGATGAGAGTTTCTCTACTTTTCTGATTGACATGCTGTTCGCTGGCAAAATGGAAATATGGACAATGCTTGAGAAGTCTTTAAGCTTGAACACAAGTTAGCATTTTCCCACATCCATTTCCCTTGTCTTGAAGTCAAAATGTGTTTGCCCGGGCTTCTGGTTGATGGCCTGAACAAAGGTCGCACCTTATGAGATTTTCATGTTTAGTTCTACAATATAAAATATGCCAGTAAACACCCACTCGTCACTTTGTACCTGTCTTAACAAAGGCAGATGCTAGCAAGTGGCTTTTTAGACTGTACATAAGTCTGCCTTGATGCAGAAACAACTAAGATGAAAATTGAGCCTGCAGTATGATGTACAGTACAGACAGGAGATAAAGCAGATACAAAATAATGGTGTCAAACCAGGTCACCTTTGACCCAGATGATATGAGACTAAACAGTTTTGTTTGGTTTATTTTCATCCTGTTCTGTCTTTTTCCTGATATCCTGGGCCCAGGAGTTCTGAGACTGCCAAGGCACACAGATTTTGAAATCCCATTTTTTGTGATCCAGGATCAGACAAGTCGGCCAGTTTTTGTCCCTGTAGTTCAAAGCAATTCAGGATAGGATCACCCTGATCCAGATTACGACTTTTCAAGATTACTAGATCCTGAATATCAGTGCTTTAATCCTACTGATCGCCATCTAGTGGATATGAAACATAATACAAGGAAGACAAGAGACCACATTGCAGAGACATCTATTGTCCGCAATTACTTTTGAAAGGTGATGACAGATGATGACCATTTTTAAATATTTTTCATTAGTTTTACCAAAATAACTTGATTTAAAATATCATTTCCAAAGAAATAAATCCTTCAAATCTGCCTATTCAGTTTCTGTTTGAATGTGAAGGGCTAAATTAAAGAAGCTCGTCTGTTAAGATCGCGGAAAAGGAAGGACCCAAATGCAGACTACAAAAAGAGGTAAAAGGTCTAGAAACAAAAACGAGCTTTATTTACAAAGCTGATGAGCAAAAAACATGTTATGGATAACATAGGTAGCACAAGGAATATACATCACCCAAAAAACGATCGTGACCAACATGGAGGGAGACAGGAAAAACAACGAACCAACAAGGCACACAGGGGAAGACAAGACTAAATACAGAGAGGGGTAATCACAGGACAAGAAACAGCTGGGTAAGGGAGGCAGAAACACAAGGGCAACAGGTGAACACAATGAGACATTCAGACACAGGAGGAAAAACACAGGAAGGAAAACAAGAGACAGGGAGAACAGAACAGCAAAACAAAACCCATTAGACAGACAGACAAAACAGGGTTTTGCACCCTGGGCCGTTGTTTTGATATTCCGCTGAAGTATACGCTGTGACGTAATAACTTCTTTTTTTTTCGAGGGAAGGGGTGGGGTTCAGAGGGCCTAGGCATAAAAGTCACGGCTCGCCACTGGTCGGTGAGATCGCTGTCATTTAATTCTGATAGTGCTCACAGGGTTTCCTACAAACCACTATTCATTCACGGTTAAAAGAGGGCTATCGCCCGAGCTAATTTGTGCTATACTAACAAAATGTTTGCTGATATCGGCAACGTTCTGTGCCAGTGAGGAGAGTGTCCCGCTCCTCCTCACTGTAGCTTTGTAAACTCTACTGCATGGTCAGACGCTATTACAGTAAGAGTTCTGCCGATAATTAAGACTGTGTATATATTGTTTCCCTATACAGTGACTGTTTAATGGTTAGCAGAGTGCTCTCGCTCAGGATAACTTGGCTGGAAAGTAGCAGTAATTGGTTGATGCCGCACACATTTATTTTTTCAGATCACTGAGAAAGAATATATATATTTAAAAAAAAGAAATACTTTAGTAGGGTGCTCTCGCCCAGACTAACTTGTTCGGCCGCTAGCACTGCTGATTGTTATCTATACTCAAGCTCAGGTAATTGTTCCATCTTCCAGCAGAGTTAGCAAAGTTCTCTCGCTCAAATCTAACTTGCTACGGCGCTAGTGAAGAGAGTGTTCTCACTCCCCTGCATACAATTGGTTCCTTACCTGTTCCATCCCCCAGTTAGCAGAGTGCTCTCGCTCAAAGGTAACTTGCTACTGCGCTAGTGAGTGTCCTCGCTCCCCTCTCACTGCATACAATTGGTTCCTTACCTGTTCCATCCCCCAGAGTGCTCTCACTCAAAGCTAACTTGCTACTGCGCTAGTGAAGAAAGTGTCCTCGCTCCCCTCTCACTGCATGTAACTGTTTCCTTACTTATTCCTTCCACCAGTTAGACCCGGGAAAATGATTAGCCCTGAACCAGGAGCTGTCAGTCCTCCTTGCCAAGGGTGCAATCGAGCATGTGGACCCCATCTCACAGAAATGATTTTTTAAGATTAGCAAACATCATATGTGTAATTCGTGGCACAATTCAAACGGGATCGAAAGATAATCTTTCTCTCCCCATTGACTTCAATACATAATTTTTCCAAAATAAGGTCCCATGGGGCGGAAGTAGAAGGGCGGGACTTCGCCTCTCTATAAGGCGGGTACTCAGGTTTCCTCGGGACTCTGTTGATATAAGTCATCCAGTGCAAAACACTGCCGGTCAGTATGAAATAGAACAAAAGTTACGTATGTAACTACGGTTCTATGAATCCTGGATGACCGCCAGAGTTCTTAGTCACTCGGAATCTCGTGTTCCTGCGAGAAAATTCCATAGACTGAACTCGTTGAACTTATACCTTCCGGGGTCATATGAGGTCACACGTGACTTTGTTGACATAGGTACATGCAGGGCCGCCCCTCCCTACAGGCCAATCACGCAGGCTGCATGGGGCCCCGCCCAGAGGGCCTCAGCTGCTGTGCGCAGTTCTCCGCGCAGTTCTCCGCGCACCCCCCGCTGACGCGAAAGTGAGAGTGAGAGGTGACAAGGGGAGCACGTCTGTAACCCGACACCGTTGCAATGAATCGACATCTGACCAATCACGGCTTTGATACGGCCACTAGGGCAGGTGAAGAGATGTCGGTGAAAAGCAGTCTGATGCAAGCAAGAGGGAAAAAAACAAAAAATGAAGAAACTAGAGCATCACTCGAAGGTGGGTTATTGTATGAGTCAAATGTACAACTTGCGAATGTTGTATAAGTGAAATTGCCAATTGCTATATTAAAACATCAGCTGCAATTCACGACAAGAAGAAGGCAGTCTCTGCAGAGCATATAGGCTAATGGAGATGCAGTTATTTCCAGCATTCTTTATTTACCATTCATTCAAGTATTTTATGCCTTTTAACTGCTAATGTACAGGAGGAAGAGTGATAAACTGTGCCAGTTGGCTTCATAGGTTGGCTAACATAACAGTTCAAGTTTACAGCCTAAGAAACATGGAGCATTTTTTCCCCTTTTATTCATTTTTATGTCAATTTGCACATTTCATGATGATGCTCAGCCTCTCCCCTTAACTCCTAACAGTCATCATCATGTCAACCACAACACAGAGAAATACTGATAGAAATGTGTGTGTAGTTGTTGATACATTGCTGACAGAATACATTTGAAATATCAGTTTTTGAGCATGTTATAAGCATGTTTTGTCTTGACTACATTATAATAAAATAATATAGCATTTATATTGTTGAATTGATTATGATTAGTAGAAGTAGTTTATTTGCATTAATTATATTTTAATTACATTACGTTACATGTTAGACACTTATATCCAAAGCGACTTACATACTCAATACTGTGGGCAATCCCCACAGGAGCAATTTGGGGTGAAGTGTCTTGCCCACGGACACAATGACATGCTGACTGCAGTGGGGTTTGAACCTGTGACCCCCTGATCCGAACACCAATGCTCTATCCACTGCGCCACACGCCTCCTTTAATCTTTTAGATGCTAGTATTTGGCAGGAAATCCAGACGTATTCACCTGTAAACGCATACTGAATGACATACATGCACATATACCATTTACCTCACTGTATAAAAAAGTAACTGTGTTGATAATAATAATAATAAACAGGAATTATATTTGCAAAGTAGCCTACTTAAAATAGTTTTCACTCCTGTCGGTTGGGGGGGGGGGCCTCATCTCACAATGTCGCTTCGGGCCCCAAGTTGGCCAGGGGCGGCCCTGGGTACATGTGCTACCAAGCAAGCCTCCTCGACATTCAGGACCACCCTGTGTCTTTGCTTATCATCTGCACACTGTGCCACCAACAAAACAAACATAGTATATGCATATTTTTTCTAATCAGTTAAAGGTGGGCTAGGTAATTTTGGAGAAACCAGCTCGAGTGCGCTAGAATTAGAAAATACACAGCCGGAAAAAATCTGCCACTTCCTTACAGAGCCCCTCCTCCAACACACACGAACGCGCACATGACCAATGAGGACACGAGATAAGTTTGTGCACAGATGGAAGGCTGACAGGCAGGTAGGCCATCCAGTTATTTTAGCCGGACCAACTAAAATGATTGGTCGTGCTTTTTACAGTACTACGGCTTCCACAGATGACATTTGTTATGGATTTTTTTGTCAAAGCACTTCAGATATTCATTGCTATCGGGATGTTAAGAGCATTCCATGGAATACAGCAAAAAGTGTATCTTGAGCCTGTTTCTCAAACTTACCTACCCCACCTTTAAATAGTTACTAAAAACCCTTGTCCCTATCAGTGCTGTGTATGGACTGTATTTACGAGGTTTATCTGTTAAAAAAAACACTTGAACTTTGAACTTTCATATAGGCATTCATTTTCAAGCGTTTTATTCAACAACAATTACATACTTCATGTACACCTCAACTGGTGAATTTAGCAATGTCCTGAAAAATAGCAGCCTCTAATCTTGTTGTTCTTTCTCCCTCTCAGTCAGAATGGCATGGGCTGGGTATCCATGATGGCTCGGGTGGGAGCCATGGTGGCCCCGATGGTGCTTCTCACGGCCGACTATCTACCTTGGCTCCCGGGTTTGATCTATGGCGGCGCTCCGATCCTCAGTGGAATTGCTGCAATATTTCTTCCAGAAACACTTGGCTCGCCCCTCCCCGACACAATACAAGATGTGGAGGACAGGTAAGATCAGGGGGGACAAGATCTGTTCCTTCTTTACATCTCTGCAAATCAAAACATACATTTTTAGTAAAGTATACTGGATGCATTTTAGACATTAAGAGAGGGACAGAGACAGATTTATCTATATTTTCCTTTTCTATTTTGACCACAGGGGAACTGGGAGAAGCTCCAAAGCGTCACGAAAGGAAGCGATAATCCTGCAAGACATCCAGGCGGATCTCCTAAAGCAGACGGCCTGAGGGCATATGGATTCTGCTCCTGACGTTTTCCTCACATGTCAATGAACATATCTTGGTTACTGCTTTTTCTCCGGCCTGTTTATTAGTTTGATTTCAATATAAAGCTTATTATGTTGTATGACTGCTAGACAGGTGGAGTTGCAATAAGACAGGTCAATACAGTGAAATGAATAGCTGTGAACAATTAGATCTGTGTTTGTTTATGTTATAGGAGGATTTTAGTCAGGAATTGCATAAATTATGTTTTATATTTTAGATAATGAGCTTTCTAGAGGTGATTTGCTTTTACTGGTATTTTTATAACTTCTTATTACTTGCAATCTTGTATTTGAAAACAAAAATATATTTTCATTAAAATCAGCACTTTCACATTTAAGTCTTGTGTGTCTTTTCAATTCCTCTGCTCTGTTGAACTGAAATACTTTGCACAATTTGTTATTCAGGATCCTTTTAAATGGGCACCGTCGGATACATTTACTGAAACAAGTCAGACATAAGAAGTTTGCGACAAGAGGATTTACATTTAACTGGTTTACGTCCGTCATTCATTGCTTGGGCCTTATCCTAAGACATCAATCAATAAGTAAACAATATGAAATCAGGTAGAGAATTATATATTATATATATATTTTCAATCACACACAGAACCTACTCATGTTTACATTTCTCTGTTTCACTTCATGATCACAAGAATGACCTCTGGTGTTCCATATTTTAGGTAAAAATGTCACCCAGTCTTTAAATATTAATCTTTTGAGTCTCACAGACAATCGAACATGTCTTTGAATGGACCAACTGAATAATGGTATCCATTTTGACTGTCAATGAGTGCATGATGCCGGCAAATTCAATAGGCTGTTTTTTCCACTTCTAAAAAGACACCGTAAAGTAACAATAAGTTCTGTACTTTAATATCTCATATTTGTGACAAAAATATATTGAACTGAGATTTAAAGTGGAGGATTGTTCCACTATTGATTGACCTCTAATATTTACAACGATGTCTGCTTGGATCACAAACTGCACTCAGAAGTGATGGGTTTTTTATCAGGCTGCAGTTCAGTTTACTCCAAAGGAACACAGCTGTAATACATATAAAGTGTGTTTCTATTTTATATTCAATAAGGAAATAACATACAATACAGAATAAAACTCACCCTTGCAAACGTTGCTCTTTCCTGGTTTGTCTTGTGAATCTTGCTGTTGTGCCTCCATCTAGTGGTGAGTCCTCGGTAATGCAAAAGCTAAACCAGTCAGATCCCCAACACTGTAGATCTTTTTTTTGAAGAAGGGCGGAAATTTAGAAGCTAAAATAAAGCAAGAAATCTTCTCTGTACTTCTTTAATGCTAGAATCGTGTTCTTAAAGATCTGTTTGTCATTACATTTCTTACAATATGGGATTTTTCTTCAAGAATGCTGGTGAAACATCAAGATTTAAATCCATGGGGAAAATAAATAAATCATTATTTTTTTTGTTTCAGAATAGGTCCATCGATTTTTATCTTTTGTACTGTACTTTTCTGACAATAAGTTTTATAACTTGACTACGCTTATTTCCCACATATGTTTTTGTATGTGCTTGTGTGACTGGCTCTGACTGTATGAGCTATAACTTCTACCATGTGAAACTGTTTTGTTCAATCTATAACCCCTCAATCAACATATAAACCATATATCAGAATCAGATGTTATGTGTGTACTCCTGAGACACGATGTGTATCGTATGCACTACATGCCAGAAGAGTCAAGCCTGAAGTCACACTAAAAGGTGAATTAAATGCAAAAGCAACGCTTTCTACAGAAATAACTACATCGTAAAATGATATGAATAAAGATTTATTTTCTCATATGAACAGGTGGATTCATTTTTCATTTTATTTTACAATCTATGACAATCTCGCATTTTTTTTCTTTTTTTCTAGCATATTTCAGGAATGACATGGGGGAAGGTTCTCTTTTATTGCTGAATGTTAAAATGAAATACACTTTCACTGACTGGAAAATAATTGTCTGCTGCTTTTTTACCATGCACCCATCTAACCGTGACCACAAGGACATGCAGAGGAGAGGTGTTCAAACATTTCAAGCGAGGGTGGGAGTCAGGTGGAGTGGGGGGGTCATAAAATTAAACAGAAGAGAGTGGCAGGATGTGCCTGGTAGCATCTCCATTGTGTGAGAGGACTAGAAGAGTGAAGGGAGTATCACATTTAAACTAGAGGAGCACTATCTTCTTCTGTATTTTTCAGACATACAAAAGTAAACCCAGAGGTGAGAAACTCAATGAAGTATCTGCATGTGAGGTGTGACCAAAGACCTTTCTATATAGCAATACCACTGTGCGTTTACCATAGACGTAAATATTGCAGATTAATTTTTTCAAGAGTTATAGTCTGATAATTCAGATTTTTTTTTTTTTAAGGAGTAAATACCATACCAACAGTGACACAACTGTTCTCTCTCACTGAGTCATGATTCTTGAATTACCTTGGAAATGTTTATATCCTTCAATGGAGGACAGGGGGCTCAAATGTTTTTAATTTTGAAATCACCCTCATTTATGGAGTTCATTTGAAAGGACTAACCGTCGACAAGATAAAAAGCAGTACACAGTACCATCGGAGGAGACACTGTCTGGATGCTTTTTGCCATTACTTGGAAGTGTGCATGTTAAGTGGAGCAGTCTAAAAGTAGGTGATACAACAATTCATGGACACAGTCATTCAATGGACATGTGAACAAGAAAGGCTGACAACTTTATAGATGGCTGCATAATGGCTTTAAAAACTAACTCATGTAAATATGCATTTATATCATGTTCATTCTACACTACAGGCATCACATCGTTTTTTTCCACACAAAACACACTACAGTCACCTGTTAGAAAATTATGTAATCAAACAGCAAAATAGAAAGTTTGCATATTTTTGCATTGTATGATCCTCCAAAGTTTCACAGCTATTTCCATTATATTGTCTAGTATGTTCTATACTGTCCTCCACTCAGCTGCTTCTACTTTCCTTCTCTCTATGTGCATGTGTTCAGGGAACTGGTAGGCTGTATGTTTTACATTTCGGCCTTCATGATCTGAGAGCCTTAGTCTTAGGTAGACCTTAAGTTGAGGAAGAGGGTGAACAGAGTTTAAGGTGGAAGGGAAAAGGGGGGGTGGGCAAGTGTAAATCCTGAGACACTGTGTGGCCTTTAATACGATCCACAAAAACAGAATGGACACAGAAGGATGATGAAGAATGGCATTAGGGGCTGAGTTGAGTGAAAACAGATGCAATCTTTTTGTTTTGCCATCACTCCTGATGGCAGGGGTCACCCTGTGCCAAGCGGCTCAGCGTTTGTTGGCCTCTTAAGAAACTAACATGAGGGAAAACCTGCTGGGGAATCAAATAGGACTAAACTGGGGCAGGCTGGGGAAGTGAAGGAATAGCTGTAAACCCATCAAGCAATGACCTGCATAACATACAACCCTAAAACAGCCTTACCTGTCCACATACACGGGGGGTCACTGTTCTGATAAAGCACTATTCTGTGAACCTCTGATACACTCTTCTGTCACCGGTAGATCCACAAGTTTGAATGTCATCACAACAGACAATGAAATTCATCTAACAATCACCACACACACACACACACACACACACACACACACACACACACACACACACACACACACACACACACACACACAATCTCTCTGTAGACATCAGTCAGAGGGAAAAAAGGATCTACATCGTATTTATCAGGCGCTCAATTAGATCCCAAATCATATACCCTACAGGCGAATCATATTAATGTAAACATACACTTTATGTTGAAGTGGTTTATATTGCATGACATGGAAGGGGTTATGTTCCAGTGGGGCTAGACTCCTCAAAGAATGCAACTTGGAAAGAAAGTAAAACAGGAAACCAGAGAGGAAAAAACAACATAAATGTGTATAAAAAATGAGGCGTCCATATAAGAAAGGCTACAAAAACCTCCACTGGCCCTCTGGCATCGGCATACAGCAAAAGGCACCACAATATTACTATTATTTTTTTACGTTGTGAAAAAACTGGCACATCTTTTTATGCTGTAAATCAAAAATGTACATATAAATAGAGTTTTCCCTATAAAAAAGTCTTTGCTGTTAACTAGTAGACAACTTTTGCTAAAATGAAAATAAATATTTCATTTGTTTAGAATATCTCAGTTATATAAAATAAAAATATTTCTTATAGATGCAGGTCTATACTATATTGATTTTTGTTGGTTCATTTTCACTCTTTAATGGGTGTATTGTCCGGTTTGGAGCGTGAGTGTGTAAGTCTTGTATGCATGTTCCCATGCCCACTGTGCCGCCCCGATGAGTGAGAAGTCCGACTGTCCACCGGCCTGTAGATGGTGGAGGGCTCGGCATTCATGTTCTGCATACTGAGGAAGGGCGTGTTCTCCCCGTCCTCCTCTGACTCACTATCTGTTAGGCAGCTTCGAGACCCATAGTCCCGAGAGGCCTCGTATCCACGCGGGGCCACGTGGCCATTAAGTCTGGATCTCCGCCAGCGCCGGCTACCAGTTCCACTGGACCCACTTCTCTTTGGTTGCTCCCGAGAGGAGAGATACTCCTGGGTGGTCTCATAGTCTTCTTCTTTAGCCAGCCGGTAGGGGCTGGAGGGCAGGCTGCCCCTGCTGTCGTTTAGATAGGTGCGGCGCTGCTGCCGGTAGGGCTCCTGGCACTGGGCATCGTGTAGTGGCACCTGGTAGCGGCGCAACAGGGGCTGGTCATCCTCCAGAGGGTAGGGGTTGCGGACAGCAGGAGGGAGAGACATGGCATGGCTGGCATTGGGGGATGTTATCTGGAAGGTAGGCACCTGCGAGGGCAATGAGTAATGGAAATCCACTGGGGAGAGTCGGGCTGGTGTCGTCAGGGCTGACACGTATCTGTAGTAAAAGCAGAGAGGAGGGCATAGTTAAGTAGAGAGAAGAGCAACAAGCAGAAGTGAGCAAGTGGAAGAGTTTAAAGAAATCTGTCTGAATTTTTCTCAAACATTCGATTCATTGAATGAACTACCAAATTGCCAAGTTACAAGCAAGCTGTAAACAGGCACTGGAATATTAAATGGAAAACAAGTGTTGTATCATACATTCATTTAACCTAGATGTCCTGTTGAGCTGAACTGCTGTAATTTTTTTTTTCACACTGGGTATTTAAACTTTAAAATAATATCTTCCCTGACCATTGACATCGTCTCAATTTAAAAAAAGATGATATATTTGAGATATTTCTATTTTGATCTGAAGTGTTTTTTATCGGCAGATTTGACCAAGGTTGAAAAAAGTCACTCAAAGAAAGTTATCACCTTGTGTTCAAGAAAGATATTCAAGATGAATTCAAATATTCAAGAATTCAAGAAGAATATAAAATCGGCAGCAATACTACAGTACTGTATATCATATCCCATGTTTACAAACTTGGAGTCTGGTGGTGTCCCCCAAGGATCTGATGTGGAGCCATGTCTTTTTTTAATATCCTTGGGTCTTATAAAATACAAATATAAAATTGGTTGATGCTGAGGATTTGCAAAAGTGATTGTCTTAACAGACATTCATAAACATTCATTCTACTGCCTGACAGTGAATCTGAATGACTGTATCAATAACATTTCCAGCAGTTTGTTTTACGATCACCTGTCTATTTGAGCGTCTCAAGCAGTTAAAATCAAATCCCAGCCAGAGGTCTTCGGGCAGGAGCAGCTGCTTATTGGTTGCTGTATAGTCTATTCCTAAAGAATGACGGTGACTAAATAATGTTTCTCTACAACAGACTAACCTGCACAGCAAGGTTTCACTTTAGCATTTTAGTGTATATGCTGATCACAAGACAACATTTCTCTTAATCCTTTGAATAATGGCATGCTGCACCTTTCTATACCTTCATCCCCAACCTACTGTGGTTTTCAGTTTATGCTATCTTGTTTAATTATATGTCACGGCCATGTTGGCACCATGAATGAATGCTTGAGTAAATGTAGAAGTTCTTGAAGATACACAACCCCCTAATTATTGTTAAACGCTAGCTATAAAAATGTACGGCTTGGCTCTTGAAGTAGAAAGTCAATATCAAGCTTTAAAGACAGATACATTTAAAGTGCGTTTTCTCGACTGACGGGTCATGGTTCCCACTTTTCCATCCCTTCTCCAACTAACCCTAGTTGCCAACATGTTGATTGATAGTTACAAAACTATATTCATACATCAACTAAACATGATTGTCAATACATTTTAAATGCCGTTTCAAGTCCTCATATCACTGACCGTAGATCAGACTTTTTGTGTCAAATGTCCTTTGCCCTTAGGAAACTACAACAGGCTGTGTGAGACACAAGCTTGAGATATTCCCACAGAACTGCTGATTCAGCTGAATCCAAAGCCGTCGCCATGATGGAAACAGGCGCCTGTTACCTGGAATGACTCTCAGGGGAAGTTGGTTATGCAATCTGACTCTGTATAGCAACTCATTGGCCAAGGCACATTTTGTGCTGAAATGCTTGTTGTGTGCTGGCATTGTTGGGACGATGAAGCTGATGCACATAGGAGGCAAGACACATCTTGTCCAGGTTGTTTTTGACAGTCTATAAAGGGCACTGTTTATTTGCTTCAGATAATAGGCCAGGACTGCATAGTCTTGTCATTTATACAGTATCTTATTTACATTTTTGCTGCAGTAAGTCATACCCTTATGCGGCCAAAATTAGGACACGGGAAAACACACTCGACGCTCCGGAAAACAGGTTTAATTAATAAACAGTAAAAAGTATTTAAGATGGTTACTTTATTTTTACATTGTTACTTATTCTCTTTTTGAAACTCACAAACCAGCGTAGGTCATTGTTGGAACAGTAAAAGAGTAAAAAAAGGTTTTAAGGAGTTATAATTTGTATTTTTTTGTGAGTTTTTACGTGAATCAGTGCGTGTCATGGACATTGTACTATAAAAGGGCAAAAGGAAATGCGGTCCACCCCTGGGTCATATTTGTATCACTGCTGATCAAAGCTGGAGCCGACAAATACCTGTGAATTCACAAGTGATTTGTCCCGGGAATGAATGCTGATTGTAACCTTTCCCACGAAAGAGAAAAAGCCAGATGTTAGTGGGAGTTAGTGGGATATTTGTCCAGTGGGAAAGGGGCTTAAGTCATGTCGTCATTTCTGGAAATTTTTTAATACTTAAATGGATGCATGCAGCTATAAACACATTAGGAATATTTTTGGTCCATTACTTTCATCTTGGCCCAGGGACTGAAGTTGGACATGCACCGATTTGCATATTCAACACCTCAAGTAAGCATTTTGCAGCATTAGCAGGCATAAGTTAATGTGTTAAGTGTGTAAGGTCTACATCTGGTCCAAAAGTGTGGCTCTGGTTGGCTCAAATGATATGTACTTAAAACTCTAAAGCCATAAGCAAGCAGACTTATCCTGTGAGGTCAGTGGGTCACTATGCATTCTGTTATCGTCTGTTCAACTTTTTGTTAGTTTTAATGCATTTGAACTAGTTTTTCTTGTATTTTCACTTCATACCTATCCAAATGATCTTATGTAGTGACCCATTTACAATGGATAGGCTGATGCTGAGAATAATTAAAGGTCCAATACAGAAGACATTAGGGTAAATATTGATTCTAAAGACCTGAAGCAAATGTTAATAAGGCTGTGTGTAAGCTATCGGTAGAAAAGGGCTGGATGACTTCATGTAAAGCAACCTATAGCATGTTTTTTCAAACCTTAAACACAGGGTCTTCAATTACAACAGATACCGACTTCCTCGACATAGCTGGGCCATCATTCCAATCCCTCAAAAAAGTTCTTTACTTTTGGAAAAGATAACTAACCCACTGTTTTTTTGCTTAAAACGTACACTTCATACTTTTAATATATGGCTCAATAGTGCTCCCATACCCCTGTGTGTTCTCCTAGCTCAGTGCTTATTGAGCTTGTTGAGTGATGGATGCTTGGCTGTAAAATGTTTTGGAAATGTAAACGTTAACAGTGAGGGCATTTTGGGATTGGGTGGGGAGGGTCATTGTTAGGCCCCTATAACAATATCCCTTCAAATTTGGACCATGTGTGACATTGCAAACGAAATAAAGAGCATGTGGCAGAACTGAAAGCACAATATTTACAGTGAACTAATTGTGTTTGAGCTGACATGTTCTGGGAGCACTCAGACTTTTGATGAAATAATCTTGTTTGACATGTTGAGTCACATGGGAAGATTGACATCTCTGTGCCTTAAGAACAGAAATAGATGCAGGACTGCTAAATATAGACTGCTTTGGGGTTGTTGAAAGGAATATTTTCTCACTTCTGACAGACTAACTTCTTCTTCCAGCTTCTACACTTTGTGCTAAATTTATTCTCTACCTTTCCTTGTGACGCACGGATTAAATCGTTTCTGGCCAAGAAGTGCATGTCCAAAACTGTCACATGGATCCTTAAGGGAAATAAAAAGGGAAAGCTCAAGCCAATCGGAATGACATACTGGCTAGGGACTAATGTTACACTAGCTGTATGCACATTGTCCCCATTTTCCACACTTGCCTACCTTAGCGTATTTCATCATCATGCCTGCTGTCTGTGTGTCAGTTTCCTCTGAATCTCAGAGTGCCCTGACTGGGACTGAGGCTGAGAGAGAACCAGCAGAGAGAGCAAACTTTTCGAGAATGTTAACGCCAAACCTAGAGCCACATAGGCCTGTTTCCCACCTGTCGCTGTGCGGAGAGTCTCCCAGCGAGTCGAAAGAGTCTCTGTACTGCAGGCCCGTCCGATGGGGGTCAGAGTAACCACAGTGACCAGCGCGTCGTGCCCGTGCGTCCATGCACGCAGGACTGCTGCATTTACTGGTCCCCACGGATGATGACATCATTCCCGGCGAGTCGGAGAGGATGCTGTCAGAATGTGCCAGGCTCCATGTCCGTTCCTCATGTCTGATAAATAAAAAAGGTGTTAACGCTCACACACCCCCCTTTTTTTTCTATCCTTTTCTTTTGTTATTTTTGACAACCAATTCACCTGTTTCCAGAGGCGTTTGACCGCTTAAAGAAATGGTTTGGTGTTATGAATGCTCACCTGTGTGTTGATGAATGGGCTCGTGTGGAAGAGTTGTGAGATCTGGAAGAGTTATGGCTGGCAGGGAACGACCCCTCTGTTGCAGGCCGTATGACTCGTTCAGTTGCAGGGACATTCTTTGATATGTACTGTGTCGGGGAAAAATGGATTTGGCAGATGGAAAAATGTGGGGGGAAAAAAAGACAAGCTTTGATTATATAACTAAGCATTAAACCATTTGGTGTACAGTACATCTGTGTGCGTTTACTTTAATAACGTTAGGAATCCTTTCAGAAACTCACATCTACCATAGGGATTTCCTCTGGGCCTGGTCCGGGGTGATTGGGTCCGTTAGCAAGGTTACGATTGGGATGTTCTGGACACATATTTTGTCGCAGATGAGTGTGCATCTTCTTTCTTTGTTTCCTGTTGAGCAAATGTTGGTCAATTTCTCTCTTGCCCTTTATTTTTAAGTTACGACACTCTAGTAGTAACAAAAAATGACATGTTAACCATAAAAATATCAAAATGTCTTAATTTTTAACTAATAAACAGTATTCTTCTATTTCTCTTCTGCATATTACATGCAATGAACACAGTTTGAGTATACATACATATTTTAAGAAAGGCAGGTGGAGTTAAAAATGTTAAATATCCATTAATCAGCAGGACTTACTTGGTTTTACAGTAGGCGACCACACACACGATGCCCACCACCAACAGCGCCACACAAATACCCGTGATTGTCAGGACTCTTTTCTGGTAGAGTTCCTCTGCCTCTGTCAACATCAAACACACACACACACACACACACACACACACACACACACACACACACACACACACACACACACACACACACACACACACACACACACACAGGGAGAAAAATAACAGGAGAAAAAAATTAGTGTCACAAAAATGCAGGTTCACCACTTTTTACTGATCCACATTTCTTAACTTTTTTATAGACTAAATCCTGAGCAGTATGAAGCTTCACCTTCCCTTCCCTGACAACTCACTTCACAGGGAAACCTTTCCTCGCACATAATCACAAATACAACAGATGCTGTTGCCGCCTGCGCTGCAGTAAGGCGGCATAGGTGGGGGCAGGGAGTTGGACTGATCGAATAAGCAGCTGTATCCTCTAAAAATCCAAGTAATTTCAAATGATACAATATATGATACTTTAATGGTTCGTGCCCTTAATGGATGACCAGCGGAACCTGCAAACTGTGCAGTATAACACCGATGTGTCACCGAAGTGATTTGGAAATGTTTTGACATGATCTTAAACAACAGCTGCATTCACTTACAGAAGTCTTCATCTGCTCATGGATTCAGTAAGTACAGTTATGAGATCTTATGTTACGCTTATTCATTAAACACATTCATTTTGAAATGAAATATCAATAAATATATAACTGGAAGAATTTAGACTTAAATTGTGCTTTTCCAGAGAAGAGCTTGTGTGAGGTTGAGGTATGCCTGTGCCCTTGGAGGACATGATGGAGCTAAGAGGTAGTGTGGTGTCTGATAAAGAATGTACCACAAATAAATGAATGTGTACAACTCCTTCCATCTGAAGCTGCCAATTTACACCACCATACCAATTTGTTTCAAGTTCCTAGAGAACAAATACATCATAATCACAAGTGATCTTGGTGCAGGTCCAGTTTCTATATGTGTTATTTTGTGATCTGGAAAGAAACGCCTTGAGCGTTCATTCTACAACCCTCAACCAGTGAAGCACTTGTCTGGAAAAGTTAGCAGAAAACAATAGCTAACAACAAAGGAGGATGAAAATAGCTGGAGATAGAAGAAAATCATGAATGTAGGTTCTAAATATAGCAATGCATGCTCACATCACAGCATCCTCATAGGGTAATTCAAACCAGTTACACAGATATTATATGACTTCAGAAGTTACATTTCAGCTAAGCTAACGACGGGGTGATGCAGGAAACATGGACAGAACACATACATAAAAAGTAAAGGGGTGGCATATCAAAGGAAACAGAGACACTAGAGGTATGAGACTAAAAGGTTTGGAAAGATGAAGGTGAAGATTGAGGAGAGACATCTGGTAGCTAGCAACATGATACACCATGCTTATGATAGATGGGATGAGAAAACAAAAATCAGTCCAAAAAAGGGGAAAAATGCTATTGAGCTTCAAACTCTGTTAATGGTTCTACATTTCCATTTCACATGTATGAGGGTTGCGAGTGAGGACATCCATGTTAATGATGATTGATGGAGGATCGGATGCGTCGGGTTTGTCATTATAATGAGTAATGGTACGATAGAGAGATTTGATTGGTTAATCAAGGGACGATATGATTAACAGAAAGGAATGGGAGCAAGTCAAAACGAAGGACACCTATTTAATAGTTATGCTTGGGCAGAGAGTCAAAATGGATTTTTCCATACCCATAAATTCAATCCCAAGATGCTCTGCCATTGCAGAGGGTTGACAGTTGAAGAGAAACAAAAATAAACAAAAGACCAGGTTTAGAAAGTGACACCTTCTAACACACAGTGGAGCAAACATAAATATGCATTACGGCAACTGGGACAACAAGCACTTTGTCAGTAATTGTCGGCATGACATGGTCAGTAATGTCAACGACGGGAACACACAGCATGCAACACACACGTGAAACCACACTACACAAAAACTACCATTTCATTCTTAACTGATTTGATTTCTAAAATAGTCTAATCGAAAAATATATAATGTGTGCAGTTTTCTATTTGCTGTATGTCTCAACACAGTCTGATTCGCACTTTTTTGTGTATGTTTCCAGACTTGCAGAGTTACATTTGATAACATAACGGAACAAAATCTCCTTATGGGATTTGGAATAATTAGACGCACAGTCACTCTCATTTTTGCTCCCGGGGGAAAATATGCGTCATCTGCTGGGATTACCTGGGCTTTCAGTTTTCTGCTTTCTAAAAAACGCTACACTGTCATTTCCCCGAACACACCCATCGCATGAACAGGCAAGTAAAAAGGAGTGTATCTGTACAGTGTCTGAGTAATCGCTCGGAATAGGAAGAATTATAGCTGGACTTTATATCATATGGCACAGAGAGGCCTAAGGGAGGCTGCACCAACCAGCTGAGTCCATATCTCTGGCAGCTTTCTTGCTTTACTTGGGTTGAAGCTAGTCCCAGCTGTTCTAATGACAACATGCTCTTGTAAAGCCAAGCCCTTATGGCTGAGGAGCAGAAGCCATCCTCCTTGTCTTTGGTATCTCCTGGGGATGGGAGGCGCCCTCCAGGAGTTGAGTCTTTAAATATGGAGTGTGTGTGTGTGTGTGTGCGTGTGCGTGTGCGTGTGCGTGTGCGTGTGCGTGTGCGTGCGTGTGCGTGTGCGTGTGTGTGTGTGTGTGTGTGTGTGTGTGTGTATGTATGTGTGTGTGTGTGTGTGTGTGTGTGTGTGTGTGTGTGTGTGTGTGTGTGTGTGTGTGTGTGTGTGTGTGTGTGTGTGTGTGTGTGTGTGTGTGTGCACATGTGCCTGCTTTAAAACTGTGATTTATTCTCCTTAATTGAGAGTAGGAAACATGCAATATGTGCGAGGCCATTAACGATTGCTAGTTTTCCAAAAAAACTAAAATCCCTTAACAGCTACATCCATCATGTCTGAAAGGGGCTTTCATGAACATGATAACTGTTGATCTTACGTTTTTTCAAACCAAGAGGTTAATATCCTTAGATAAACAATGATATTAAATCATATGATGTGACTGAGAGGAGGCTTAATCTTTTATATTTTAAATAACAACATTCAATTATTGATGGATGAACGTTTCATCAGAGAACATCTGATTGTTGAACTGACTTTTGAACTTTAATCTGTTAAGCGTACAGATAGTCAGGTCATTGATTTGAACAAATTCAAATGTAAAGCAACTAATCAAAGCCTGTTTTGTGTTCACGTAGCTGGATGAGAGCTGGAAATAAATGCTGTTCTTGATGTATTTGCACAGCTGCGTCGAAGTTAGACAGAATGCAGAAAACAGTGTAGGGATAAAGAGCTCCCACACATCACAGTCTGCTCTGCCAAAAGAACAAGTAATTTCAGCACAGTGCATTTCGACTTAATGTGAGATGAAATTACTTGTAGTTAAGAGGGTTTATTGCCATTGTACTCTGAGCCAACATACAACAAACACTGAGTGTAAGCTCTGCAAGTCAGACTGCGGGGATGAGGCTCTGAAGGCAACATCAGGCAAAAGCAGATGCAGTTAGTTATTTCACTCTTATGTTACACTGAATTGCAACCACATGGGCTTGCAAAGACATGACGCTGACGAATATGCAGAAAGATACCAGAAGATTCTTTGCTATTATCCAACATGGGCGTTGTATTTTAATTCTATGGTATTACCGTACACTATTTTTATTCTGGCTCATGTCTTCAACATCAAACTCAGTCGTTTATCTTATTTTCACTTGGGACACTTTCAAGTAATCAACCAACAGGTAATAGAGGATGTTTTTTTAAATCAAAATACCTCAAGGGCAAGATCTAACAAAACCATAGTTATCTGGAAATCTTTGTTTCATTTAGCTTTTGATGGATTTGTTTTCTGATGTTGCCGTGTGGAGTGGTGTGAGGTGTGCTTCTCTTACCCCAGGCAAAGTAGTTTGACACGGCACTGTAGTGCAGCGTGTGAACTCTTAGCTGAGGACATCTGCTGTGAGAGCACCATTTTGTTGCTGTTCTTCTGAAGCAAGAAACACAACTGGCGGATTATAGTGTGGATGTTACGATTTACTAGAGTCTGAGTCTTGAGCGAGTTATGCGGCTGAGTTGAAGTGAATGAAACACCTGTATGTGCTACTTGTAACCCATGAAGAATGATTTTACCTTTGGTAAATACCCTATTACAGTATGTTTGAGATACAAATCTAATTAGTCAGGAAAAACATAAGTGGAATGTTTTCATGTTGGCTCGTGTAAAATGTACAGACCTATGGATGCACATACTAAAGTGTCACCATTTCACATCCTACATGAGATATCTTGTTGGCCCTCAACAAACACTTCCTTATGGGTTAAGCCAGCGCACCTCTTAACAGGTTCATCATTTGTCATGCCTTAGTAAATGCTAATTGTTTCTCCATCCATCAGCTTTAATTCGATCATACATGCTTGTGTTTGCCGCTGATTACACAAACAAGCATCATTAGTGAGCAAGATTAAGATAGGGTTTTAGTAATTGTTTTGCCATTAGACTGTGTTGTTACATGCAGCTGACTTTGTGCAAATCCACATAGCATCTGAGTCCTGCCGCCTACTTGTTGCTATCACACGTACCATCGGCTCGTATTCTGAAGAACGTGCATGCAAAACACTGCGAGTTAAAGGGCACGCACTATCACATGCAGACCAAACACAATAACAGACTCTACTAAACTCTGCCAGCTTGTGAATGAGTCATCGCAGGAGGCACAGACACATCTATTAAGTAATAATAACAGGAAATGAATGCAATCTCTCTACACCCAGCATGCACGCATGACACAAGGACAGTCTGACAGAGTGACAGAAGAGGAAATTGACATACGGTAGAAACTGGCCATAACGTAGGTTTGACAGCGATCACCAGTAAAGTCATTTGGACACCTGATGGAAAGAAACAAAGCCACAAAGAGAGAGGGAGGAGGAGGAGGAGGGTGGTAGGTGAGTGAGAAAGAGAGAGACAACAGAAAGAGGGAGAGTGAAAAGTATACGTAAGAAAAGAGTGAAGGGGGGGATAGGGAGGGAGGGAGAGGGAGAGAAAGAGAGAATTAGAACAACAGCACAACTACAGACAGCAGAAGCAGAGTGTTCCCATGGACGACACCACCGTGTGCATGGTGTAACGCGCAGCTCATTGACCTGAGGAAGAGAAAGAGGAGGAGAAAGAGGAAGAGAACTTTTGGGCAGCAGGAGTCAGTCCAGAGGTAATCCAGTGACAACTGTGTCTCTGTTCTCAGCTGCTCATATCAAGTGGACATACTTTCTGTAGGCTTGGGCATAATCAGCCGCAGCGGCTCAGTCTGTAAGCACCGTGGGCCGAAGTATCCGTCCGGACATCTGGGAAGGAGCAGACAAGTGTTATGAGAAGGAAAAACACAGGAAGTGAGGTGCACTGTAAATACCGGGGGGTCGAAATCCTTTCAGGCGTATTGTTGAATTTCACTGTGAAGCCACATGGAGAAAGCACACAAAGTGAAAACACAAGAAGCAACACTTCCAAAGATGATTGGTATTCCCATACAAAATGGTGTTAATATTTTTTATGTAAAGAAGCCTTATTATGCTTTTTGGGGTTTACCCTTTCCAATAGTGTTTTGTATAGGTTTTTGTGCATGTAAATGGTGTGCAAAAGCAAAAATCCCCAAGTTCCCTCCAGGTGAAGTTTCTCCCCCACACATGCAAACATGTCACAGTAGAGGCTCAACATACACATATAAACCTGAAATGAAGCATAATAGGTCCTCTTTTATCAATATTAAACAGTAAAGAAATAAACTGCTTTACCATCTATTTCTAAAATAAAAAATGGTAAACAAAGAAATGTTACTACAAGTGAGCAAACGTATACTAAAACTTAAAAAACTTAAACATTAAAAAGGTAAATACCCTGCTTGTTAGCAAAAACAAGTTTGACATACTGATATAAAAAGGTCATATTTGGGCTTCAGAGGCTCTTGTTGACCTCAGTCTGTACAGGGAAAAAGAAAAGTGGAATGTATCTGTGGATAAACCATGTGCTGCTTTCCAGGGCCCAGTAGTTCAATTTTTTTAGTCTCAATCAGATCCGATCAGATTTTGAAATCCATTTTGTCCCAGTATTTCAAAGCAATTCAGGATAGGATCACCCTGATCCAGATTCAGACTTTTCAAGATTACTAGATCTTGAATATCAGTGCTTTAATCCTACCGATCTCCATCTAGTGGATATGAAAAATAATACAAGGAAGACAAGAGACCACATTGCAGAGACATCTATTGTCCGCAATAACTTTTGAAAGGTGATGACAGATGATGGACTTTTTTTTTGTGGAAGATATTTTTTCTTTAATCTAAATTACATTTGTGATTGACAATCTTTGTTGTTATACTTTTATGAGCATAAAGATTTATGTCATCAACATTTGGTTGAAAAGTAAATAGGCCACCACAAACTTGACCAGAAAATAAAAAATAAAATTGATTTGCCATGAAGGCAAAACATTTTGTATTATTTCAGTTAAACTTTGCCATCTTATTTATATTGAAACATATTTTAAAATAAATTGTATAGTACATTTTTCTCTGGTAATCCACTGGAAATCCACTCCTCTGGTGGGATCAGGATGATCCAGTTCTTCAGAATAAAACGGATCCCAATCCTGTTTTGTCGGTTTGAACTACCCGTTTTGAAGATTCGATCCAGATCAAAGCTTGGATTTGATTTCCTGATCTGATCGGATATCAAAGTGATCCTAATCCTGTTTTTTGGTTTTTAACTACCCGACATCCAAATCTGATCCGATCAGATAGGGATTAAAAGTTTTGAACTAATGGGCCCATGTGATCAATAAATCAATCATGGAGCAAAAAGTGGGTTGATGTGGCTTCTTCTCCTGGTGCCTGTCGTGAGCTGGAATGTGTTTATTACCTCCAAATGTGACAGGGAGGACAAGTAATCAAATGAGGAGAAAGAATATCCTGTATTTCCAGTCCTAAAAATAATATGGAAATGAAACCACCTGGAAAACATGACTGGACAACTCTCTTCATTGTTTTAAGCATTAATCAAGTTCTCTGACATTTAGCGTCATACTTTTGCAACTGCAGACAAACTACTGTATCATCAGCATCAAGTGAGTGAAGACAAACCATATTTCCTCATTACAAGCCCATTAGGAAGAGCGGCTGGTCTTTGAGGGGCACGGCATTCTTCTCACAGACTCAACTAGACCACCACCAGTCCAACAAAGGACTCATTGCTCCTGATTTACTGGTTTCACACAACGCCTCCCAGGAGCACCATAACATTCAGCATTAAATTACTCATCCTGAGTGATGGTGTTTAACGGGGGGTAGCACCACCTAGACCTAGGAAACTTGGCTGGAAGATGAAAGAAATAAACTGTCACTGCGTAATTTAAAAATCAGATGAGCGTGCAAATGTCCGTGCCGGTGCAGCTGCAAATTCTATTACCACTCGTTTTAACTTTGATGTAAAATACATCACTGTCGTTATTTATTATTCTTTGACGAAAAATAAAAATTTAGAAAGGAAAAGCTTTTCCATGAAGCGTGTGGAATTTTACTTCTACTTCTACATACTGTATACTGCACTTATGTACAATACAATTACATAATCCTCTGTCAAGTCCCACAGAGAGGTGACTTGTTAAAAAGTTAAATAAATTCCCTTAGAAAGAAGAACGTTAATATAGTTGTATACATTTGAATAGGGCTGAAACCATTAGTTACTCAATTGATTAGTCATTTCACAGAATCTTCATCTGCATCTTATTTGATAGCTTCTCTGGTGTGAAATTGATGGTTTTTCTCCGTTTTAAATGAACTGAATATCTTCCAGTTTTGTTGGTCTAAAGTTTTAAAACATCCCCCATGGAATAAGCAAAAAAGTTTTTTAAAACGCCTACTCAATTGATCAAGAAAATATTATTTACATTATCTTTATCCAAATAAATGTGAATTAAACCTTCTGAAAATGTCCTGGAAAAAGTCCATAAAAATGATAAACGCTATATTTATGGACAATATGTTAAATAAGTCTACATTTGTTTTTTATAGCTAAGTTATGTGAAGAAAATCATCAGAAAAATTATGTTTACATCTAGTGAGTTACTTACTGTGGGTCATTTGTTAACTTTAACATCTGCCCAAAACAAAGTGTATCCTTCAGAGTGAAGGAGCAGGGCATTAAAGTAGGACTATCTGTCTGTAGGACTTGTTTAACCAGTGAGTAATATCAACTGAAGCCTGGCCTATATTGAATGAGATGGCTGGGGGGCAACAAATCCCTGCAGGCCTTCACTGCATTATCCAACTTTTCTGGACCCATGCCCCGGCTGTGAGTGAATTAGCTGCAGCAATTGAGTTATTGCTGCCTCCAATTTGTACACAGCGTATTGAACGGCTGTTGCAGCCATGTCCTCGTTGCTTGTCGAGCATTCTTCCTCGGGCCAACTGGGCACCGAAGCGTTGCCAATGTTTCAGCTCTATTACAAACCAGACAGAGGACTAATGCTATATGACATATGGCCCGCATGCAACATAATGTTTGACAACCATGGCAAGACATAAGTGCATAGTTTCTGCTATAACTATTAGGTTTAACTTAAAAATGATTTTCATCTGACGGTTATTACCTTGAATAAAGGAATTGTGAAATGTCAGAAAGAAATCTTAAAATGTCCAAAAATGAAAGCAGCCATAATTAAAATTTGAGAATAAGAAAGCAGCGATTCTTAATCTTGAGCGATTATCGAAATAATTGATGTCATTGAATCTCTACTCATAAAACCTTGTCAGTGTCCTGAAAAGGGAGAAAACATTTTTTTTTTAAATAACTCTTGAACATCGTTTCAAATAAGGTTCCTTGAGAGACACAGTTCCTCGGCGCACTTTACACATGGGTCTTGATCCCTTCTGCCAAGGACCTCAAATGTAAGCAAGGATTCTATTTACCTCACTGGGGGCCTCTAACAAGCATAAATATTTGCTCACTACTAAACCAGTGACTCATGACATTTTGAAAAGGCTTTTAATGTGAAGCCCTCCTGTACACTAAACATGACATAAAAGGATGAGCACACCACCGCCTCACTCCATTATTAGTGTTAAAATACACAACAGGTGGGTAGTTAGGAAGACTGGCAGCATTTCCCTGTGATGTGTTGCTGCTGCTGCTGAAAGGAAAGATCAAGTGCTATCAGGAACATAAACAGCAGGATAAAAAATATGAAGAGTTAGGAATATTACTGGAAACATCATGAAAAGTGATTTGAATGTTATACAATACATGTATTTTACGATGTCAAAAAATGTATATTTCAAGGTGAATAGAAAAAAATAAGAATATAACTCACTTGCAGGCGAGCTTATCTATACCGTGTATGAAGTAACAGTCGCCGCCATTCACACAGTAGGCTTTCTCTGTGTCGTTGCATTTTCTGGCGTGGCCAGAGGCTGGAGGTGGCGTTGTGGTTACTGAGAAAAAAAGAAACATTTCTTTGGTTAAGATTACTCTTGCTGATGATGATTTGGACATAAAATGGCATAATGAAACATCACACATTATTATTTAGTATTCTAAGTTTAACTCATATTATACACTTGTATTTCCACGAGAACTCTTAGTTTCCCATCCACAAATGTAATTATGCCTCTAAGCAGTGTTGACACTATCTCAAGAAGTTCTATGAGCAAAGATAAATATTTCCCTGACATAGCGTAGGAGTTGTTTACGCGTTGACTCAGGTCCTTGGAATGGTCCAACAAGTCATGTATCTGCACTTAATCCCCCTGATTGAATAGATATAATATGTTTGGGATGAAGCGTGCTTATCGGGACGAAAGCAGGGACGTTTGAAGGAAGGGGAGTGCTGAGAGAGCACAGCGACAGGATGGGGCTTGAGGAAGGAGGAGTGTCAGATGCTGACACGTGATTGTATCCGTGTTACCTGCTGTCTGGCGCTCTTAGCACCTCTGCAGAAAGTGACAGTTTGTTGGTAGAAAACACAGACTTTTTCCGATTGGAAAGACCTTTACAACCGCATCAGCTCGAGCAGCCTGAATGCTCGTGTCATGCAGAATGTTGTGACAAGAAATTGCATTTTACTCAGCTGGGCCCACTTGCTCTGACATAAAATAGGCTGTTTGCCACCAGAACAAGATTTCACAATCCTGTGTCAGAGTTGAGGAAGTCAGTTTGACTCAATCCTCTGGTGCAAAAAGTGCATCCTTTTCAAAAGCACACTTCTGGATTAGCTAAAACAACAGGGATCCCTTGATAGTTAGCATAACAAAGCCACATCAATTAAATCAGTATGAGTCTGAATATCACAAACAAGTCAGCATTTTGTGTATTCCAAAACACAGCATTATATATAAAATTCCAAATATGTATTTTCATATTTTATGTAACCAAAATAGGATATCTACTTCTTCTCTGTGATAATGTTGGCATGTATTCAGGTTTTCAGGTTCTGGCAGACATACAGGTTTCCCCTTACAAACACCCTTCCCAACAACAAAACGAGTCATTAATCTGATGAGACATGCTGATATGACTTTTGATTTCAAGGTGAACTTTTATTATTGCTGTTAAAAAGGATGTCATTTTTGCACTTTAGTCAAAAGCTGCTATGTTGTTGCTCTTACAAAGTTCCTTTATAGATGATTTAATATTTATTTTCCAACATATTTCCATACCTCTCACTCGGAGTGCTGGCGTGTAAAACGCCTCGTAAAAAAAGATCAGACAAGCTTTGTAAAAAAAAAACTCCTACGTTCAAAATAGAAGCCTTGTCTTCAACTGTAAAACACCCAACACAAAAGGTGGCGAAACTAGCTGCGTGGATCTCTATCTGGGGCAGCGGCCCATCCCAGAATGCACTTCTGGAAGGGAGGGAAAGGTCCTGGACATATCATTAGCGCTCTGCAGGGGTGGGCGGACACACACGCAACATGCTGCGAACACATAATCTCCAGTCCACCTGGTTTACATGTGGGTGGACTGCGGGTGGAAAACACACGACCCGGAGAAAACCCACACAGGGAGCTGGAGAACATGTAAACTTCACACAGAAAGGATCAAGGCTGATATTTGAACCTTGGCAAGTTTATATGGCTACCGGTCATACCAAATCTGCTTCACTGTACTCAGAGTCTCATGGCACTTTGACTCTAAATATATTGTAATGAACCACAGACGACTTTTGCCTGTTTAATGGTCACAGTTTCTATTTACAAGATGTCTGTATGGGCATTGATCTCTACATCTGATTTGCATGACATTTGGGATTCAAAGAATGCAAAACCACATAGGACTACAATACTTTCATTCAGAGGTATTATTCAGCTGTATTTTACCAGTTTTGTTTTCCTGCTCCACCACCAGCGTTTCTGAAAATTCAATGTCCACACGAAAGACATTTTAAAGCATTATTGCTTATATTTCTCAACCTAATTTGTATGATGAGCTCTTTAAGAGATCCACTTTCTTTCAAAGACAGGATATATTCCAAGTATCTGTATATATTTATTTGTAAAATGTCTCAACTTAATTATCAGAAGATAACAATGAGAATCCGACTGACAAGAGCTCCCAGGATCAGACCCTGAATGGTGTTGCAGGAAAACCTCAACCGGTAATGTTCTCAAGACCGCAGATAAATGACCATAATCCATCACAACTCAGCTTTATAACCTTCATGTCAAATGTTGGAATTTTCCATCCACACAACTAAGATATACTGCAACAACTAGCTTTTCAGTGGCACGTAACCTAATTAAATAAAAAACGATAGATTTAGAATTTTTTTTTGTTGCCTGCAGGCTTTAACTGATATCCAATCTATGACACTGCACAGTCAACGTCCCAATTTGTTCTCTATCATACTCCTTCCTTTACTTAGAAATACTCCCTCTGCAGATAAACTGGTTTGTCACAGAGAAGTAAGGAAACGTTCTGATGTAATACAAAAAAAACAAAGCTTGGAAATGCTCAATTAAAAAGCATTTATAAAAACTTGCTCGGCAGCATACAGGGCCTGGATGCAACACAATGTCATCTGTAATATTGCCTCTGTGAACAGCCAACGTAAATTAAACTTGATTGAGTTTTCAGTGAAAACTTAAAAGCACCAGGAACTTCAGACTATTATGTCAAGTTTGAAGTTTGGATACTTTGAGCGGGGTGACTGATGCCCGGACAGCTATAAATCATATGTGTACCCTCTTCAGGTTTGACATTATTACCGTAGGTGAGAACCTGCTGAGAAGTAGTAACATTTTAAGAAGCCATGGACTTTCTGTACGAGAGTCCTTGGTTACTTCTGGGCACTTGCATCACTGAAAACTGTGGTGCCTTTCACAAAACCACACGAGGGCCTGCCACACTTATATTTGCTAATTCAATTATGTATTATCCAAGGGCCAAGTGCATATATGATGTAATTGATGTGTTCCAGAACAAACCACATGATTAAAACATGGACAGAACCACCACAGATATTGCTGGTAGTAGTTATCTCACTTATTGTAAAACCCTTACAAGGAGAGGTCCTGCTCTCAGGGACAAAACAGTGTTTTCTGAGGTGATCTGCTTCAGCCAATACAGTGTTTACTGAGGCTGCACTACATGTTTACTCGAGGTTAAAACTAATGACAAGTCCTAAAATGTATTGACATAATCAGGGATAAAAAATACAAACAAGAGAGCCGCATCCCGTGTAGCTGCATATGCGGTGGATTTAGATGTATATTTAAATTATTGCACTGGTGTGGTTGTAAAACTAAACTTTTGGCAAGACTTTGCGGGAATACATTTTCTCTATGAATTAAACCGTCTCCAACTCAATACAACGCATCAGCAAAATTATAGTTTAAACAACTGTTATCAAGGAAAATAGCTTGTCTTGCAATTGTTGCTTTCAACATATTTCTGTGTTTACACGACCATATCTAGGACAGTTTTGTTGTTTCAGTGAGAGCCTGGGTCACACAGACCTAACCACAGAGCTCTGCAAGAGTCATACAGTTCATCTCTTCTTAATCTGTCTTTCAATGTTTGTGCTTCGAGATTTGTCTTGGCAGATGAGAAGCGCTATATAAATTAAATGTATTATTATTATTATTATTCTGTGTTATTTTATCTCAAGTTTTTTTAATGTGAACAATGTTGAATGTCCAATTGAAGACGGACTCATTTGTAATCACATAGTGAGTCTGCTGTGAACACACCACAGAGATATCTACTGACAGTTGGTATATTAACATGTGTAGTGAATGCTGCGCGTGTTCATCATTTTCATGCGGAGCAGCTGTTCAGAGTGGCATGTGTCTAATAAAGACAGTACATTGCAGTGTCATGCATCAGTAATATTGGTTCAAAACATGTTAAAAGCTATTGTAATTCAATCTATTTGTTTTACGAACCAATCAAGCTACACATTCTGACACTTGACAACAGAGTTAATTTTGGCAGCTGTTTTTGATTTAGTCTTAGTCTTTAGACGAAAATGGTTATTAGTTTTAGTCACATTTTAGTCATTCCTTCGTAGTTTTAGTCTAGTTTTAGTCGACGAAAACTCAAAACGTGTTAACGGAAATAATGATATTGCAAGTTAGAAACGTAAGATGCATTTTGACGGACAAGATGGACACTTGAGGGAAAATATGCTGCATTTTGAATGTCCGATAGTCCACCATTAACACCTTAGTCCCGTCTCGTCTCGTCTCGTCAACGAAAACTAAATATACATTTCGTCATAGTTTTCGTTATCAATAATCTATTTTTAGCTCGTCATCGTCTCGTCTTAGTCATGTAAAAAAGGTCGTTGACGAAAACTTTTCGTCATAGTTTTCGTTGACGAAATGAACACTGCTTGACAATCCTCTGCTCCACCTGCTCAGCTCCTGTCAAACGAAGGATGTTCAAGGTGATGATTAAGGCAACGGTGTGCAGCGCTATAAACAGAAATAGCTTATTAAAAAAATTAACAGTTTCGTTCTAATTCTCCTTTTGTGTTTTTTATTGTCTTCCTCTTTCAAGAGACAGCCCTTTTATCTGCATCCATCCCCAAGAGGCCAGGCGGTAATGGTGAGGCTAAAAATGGTAGATAAAAGAGAGACCTTTGCCTGATCATAGCAATCTGGATGTCTTGTACTCGTGTTGCATTATAGTTTGAATGCATTCAATCACGGCGAGCGGATTCGAGTCATGGCCAGAATGACATCAAACTCCATTAAAATCTTTACATGTAACAGAGAATCCATAAATACCAAAGCAGTGCACAATTCCCCAGCTCACAAAGGGGATCAGAGTTCAGGTGTATCCGTCAGGGTTAGCCCCGCTTTCCTGGCTGGATGTAGGAGACAAATTCCTCTAACCCGCAGGAGATCAACCGCTGTGATAAACACACTACGTTTATCCGCTCTTATTTGGCCAGGGTTTAGTTAAGTTTGCTTGGTTTTTGAACCTCGGGTTTCAACTTTCCTCTGCTA